TTGTGTCCCATTATTAGTAGTATGAATTAGTAGCACGATTTTACCCAGCGCAGCGGGTACCCGCAGCTAGTCTAATATAAGACCACACTAAGTAAACTTCATTCGTTACTCTAGCCTAATAGTTTACAATTATGGGCGTTTTGTAGAGATTAAAAATAATGAGTAAAATACTCTCTCTCATTGTCAGATATCTTGATTTAACATCAGCAGACGTCCATTAGACTCTGTGGAAATTCGGTTGTAATACGTAACTGAAATTACAACAATGTTGAATACTGGTACTCTACTGGTTTCAGTTTTGTTAAATTACGTTCTGTGGTAATGTACAACAGATGGCACGGTAATTAATGTCTATTACATGGCTATTGCTTACATGACTTGTGTGAAAAATGCAAGTAAACTAGAGTAGAGCTAACTTGGTTAATTTCTACTCAACCGTGAAATTCAAACGTACTGCTAACGTTTCACATCCTAACAGGATGCTTTTTCAAAGCTGACTGACGTCAGATTTGACCACCAGATGGTGTAGTGGTCAAGTGTAGTTGATGTTCGAGGTCTTGCGAATCTAGTTGGATACCTTGACCCAACGCCTGATTCTTATCCTGCCAATTAGCCGTTGGATCAAGGAAGACATCTGGATTCGCAAGACCCCGAACATGAACCGAGACGAGGGGGATACAGACTCAGTCATGTGTGGACCAAGCTGTTGACCACTACACCATCTGGTGGTCAAATCTGACAATGTCAGTCAGCTTTGAAAAAGCATCCTGTTAGGATGCGAAACGTTAGCAGTACGTTTGAATTTCACGGTTGAGTAGAAATTAACCAAATTAGTTCTATTATCAACCAACCGAATGTACTTATTTAAGACAAGTAAACTAGATTCTTGCTAAAACAGGGACTTAGGCCACTCCCAACTACAGAACTACCAACAATGATATATGAAAGCAGCAAGGTAAAGTTTTCCAAAGCATCAGCTGTAGCAGCAGCAAAGGCACCACCGACCATGGCATCAAAACCGGCACCGATGTCAACTGCAGCTTCGAAACTTGATGCAAGGGTAGATGTGAGCAAGACAGCTGGCAATCCACGAATAAAACAGCTACAGGAGCTGTTTACGGTATGGCAATTTTCGACATTTATACGTTTAGAATGTGCATTTTTGCTTTGGTAGTTTTATAGAGTACAGTAAAACTCGCATAAGTCGGCACTTTTGGGACCATTATTTTTGTGCCGACTTATGAAAATGACGATATACGTGTATGTCATCATTTTGTCGACATATATGTGTAAGTCTCCAAAATGACGACTTATGCATGTATATCGTCACTTTGACGACTTACAAAGCCAGCATTTCGACGACTTGGAGTGTCTGCATATGTGTTTTTTCAAAACAATGAGTCATCATTTTACCAGGAATTCGCTGCATACACTGTGCCATCGGTATTTCTGATGACGACATACAGATAGAATTTTAATGTTGTTTGTATTACATGGAACCTGTCTGAGGGCGACGACTTGTACATAATAACGGCTTGTGAATGACGACTTTGGCGGGGCTATTCAAATGGATTTATCATTAGAGAAAATCGGGCGAGTTAGACGATGGGGTCTTATGCGAGTTTTACTGTAGTGAAAAATGGCATCCTGATATTTTCAATACATTTTTTGACAGAAACCTGATGGTGTGCCAATCCATCTAAAGCGAGGAGCTGTGGACAGAGTTCTCTTCTCTTCCACCATGGTGCTATGTGGAATTTGTGTTGCCTATACTGCCTACACAATATATGACATGGCTTTTCCAAAAAAATCACAATAACAAGTCCTCGTGTTATTAGGAAATATATTTGGGGGGAGCAGCAGTTTTATTAGCATTGGTGAAGTTCAAAACCTACATGAACTGCATAGACCAATATTACACTCAGTTAATTTGAAAATATCTTTGTAGAAGATGTGTGCATTAAAGCCGCACTATGCGCATCCAAACGCTAATTTCTCCAGTACTAGACTAGCAAATACTTCGTGTCATGCAGAATCACACTACCTTATGAGAAAATAAACTCGAGTTCCTCCCATTTCACTGCGCGTTGTCTTATAAAAGGCATTTTAAAATACCTCCAATGTTGTTCAAATTCTCCGATGTTGTTGACACTTTCGCGTTGCTCTGCCACGCAACCGTGGAGCGGTGCTGCGGTACAGTGGTACGGGCGTAGCAAAGATAAAAACACGTGACGTCACCTAACCGATTCTTCGCGAAATTGTTTGGCAAACAATTTAGCGTTGGCGCCAGATTACCAGATTTCGCACCTCATTCTTGTGGGTTTTAAGCAAACGCGCACTGAAATGGGAGGAATTAGAGTTTATTTTGCCATAAGGTAGTGTGATTATGCATGACACGAAGTATTTGCTAGTCTAGTACTGGAGAAATTAGCGTTTGGATGCGCATAGTGCGGCTTTAATGTAACCAGTATGAGGGTCCTGATGGGCTAATGTAAATCCCAATTCACAGTAAATATTTGGAACTCAGTTCTCAGTAAATATTTCCATTTTTCAATAAAATTTCTTGGAAACGAAATTCTTTCTAACAAATTTCTAGAAGGAAATAATGTGCCGTGCCACGTGTATATGTGTAAGCATGTGTATGAATGTTTTAGACATTTTACTTCTACTAGATGAACTAATATGTTATATAGGTTAGGATTATTATGCTGTTATAACTGGCTATTGTTGATGTGTTGGTCATGAGTGTGTGACAAATTTTCGCTACGTCATTTATTAAAATCTGTCGGTGCCTGTTACAAATTTTGCATGTTCTAGTTGTTTGTTTCTTCAGGGGTTTTTATTTTTTTATTTATTATGCAAATTAGGTCGATTTTGGTAATTTCACTATGCATTTCAGTGTCTGCCTACGGTCAACGATAACTCAAGAACCGTTTGACCCACATGTTTCAAATTGCATACAGTTGTTAATCCTAGGGGAGAGATTTGAACGTCCTATTTTGGAGCACGCCAGTCAACCTACTTTCGAGCCACGCCCACTTTTTGGCAAAATGGAAATGGCCATAAGTCAGTTCAGGTTCAACGGATTTTGCTCATTTTTGGTATGTGAATGAATAAGGACTGGCCCCAAAACATATCACACAGGTTTTGATATTTTTTTAAATTATGCAAATTAGGTAGATTTTGGCAATTTTACTATGCATTTCAGTGTCTGCTTACGGTCAACGATAACTTAAGAACCGTTTGACCCACATGTTTCAAATTGCATAGTTGTTACTCCTATGGGAGAGATTTGAACGGCCTATTTTTGGAGCACGCCAGTTGACCTACTTTCAAGCCACGCCCACTTGAAAATGGCCATCTAGATTCATTCAATTTTGTTGTTTTAGTTCTCCCATATATACTCTTGTTTTATATAATGTAGGTGGGTAGTTGCTGAATTAAAAATGACTTGCTGGCACTCGCTCATTTGTGTACTTTTTTTGTGGTGAGCTATGGTGTCATTGACACTTTCATTTTGGATATAACTTGGCTCTGATTGTAATAGTGAAATTGTGGTGCGTGCTATGCAAGGCAACATGTTTTAAGTGTAATCTGCTATCAGTTTCTTGGGTTGGAGGGGCAGATATGTGACAAGAAACCGTGTATGTTGATTGTAACTTTCTTACTTCATTTATTGTATATTCATATTTACAAGACTATAGAAGCAAATGTCCGCCTTCACTCCAGCACTGGAACAATTTTGATGAAACAGCTCTATCAGTAGATCATAGCTACATCCTCTGTGAGTAGATAAATATACATTAGATAAGTAATATATTAGTAATAACATGAACTAACGTACATTGAAATATTTATCCCTGACAACACATTTTTACCACTCATAGGATTTCTGCGTAAATTTGTGATATACCGTGTGTGATAAAACACCGTATAGGTTATATCCCGTTCCTAGATCTAAAGTATATCACAAGTGATATTGTAGTCTCCTAATATCCCAATATCAAGCTGCTAGTTTTCATTACTTACATATTACCATTAACAGAAGGCACAGAAGTACAATAATGTGTATACATTCCCAATACACCAGTATCACAATATCAAGGTGTAATAAACCTTAGAAGATGTACCCATAATTCTACTACGGCCGGTGCTAAATGAAATAAACTGGCCCATTAAAAATTTGCCAGGGCAAGAAATATGTGGTATATGAAAAGGCCACGAGTTACACTGCAAAAGTGTACATCTACACTGCAATAAACAACAGGTTTTCCTTGTATTAAATTAGTCAAAAAACCTGTGAATGAACTCAAATGGTTAATAATATAATATGATCAAGTAATTAATATTAAAAATATTAATAGTAATATAATAATAAATATTGCAGCTGAGGTCTGGCTAAATGTATGGTGACCTTGTGGTTCAATGTGACGTAATGGTGTAATAGCCACCAGAACAAATCTTTCAGTATTTATTACAAAATCACTATATAATACACCAGTGATCATGACCAGTGTCTCGACCATACATCACATCCCAATAAGTGGTTTCATGCAAGCTGCTTTCACGACTGTCACGATAAAAAAATGCCCGGAAATGTCAATATTAGATCTGGCTTCGTTTTCACATGAACGTATGCTTATTGTTTTTAGGTGAATAAACTAGGTAGCCAATTGGCCAAGCACAACCAACAAGTTCCACATGAAATGTACAGAGACACCAATTTGGTCATATGTGCAATTCTGCCCATCAGCCAAGCCTAATGGCCAACAATTATAATCAATGTTATAGTACATGGGGCGTATTAAACAAAATTAACTTACGACAGAAAGCATTTACTTACAACTCACAAGCAACATAGATGTATACCATATCCTTATTAGTACTAGTAGCTATAATGAAATAGTATGGAATGCTTTGTGAATTTCGGTGGTGCATTCCTGAAAGGTGGTACTTGATGTTATGATATATATTTATGAAACCAAGCACTTCGGTAGGAATTGCTGGACATGCATAACATACGTATGAAATATACAATCATAGAATATCATCAAAATTATTTAAAAATTGTAAAATCTGATTTCAGGTTTACAGAAAGAAAAGAGGACTGAGCAATATGGCCTAATCAGATCAAAGACCTTATACAATTATATGGTACTTGGTCAAATTACAGAAAATTAACACTTATTTAAGAAATTATGATACAGGTTGTAATAAGTGGAATATTTTTTAAAGTGGAATACAGTACATCCTAGCTCAATCAGTATGATAACCTTTCAATGCACGCGACAATGTTTTCATACTTTCTTTTTCGTGTTACTTTTATTGTTATTATATTATAATAACATTGCACATAATATAGTACTGTACAGTTTTACTAATGGCAACAACACCATGCGGTGATGATGCAATGCGACACTAATTGGGTATCTAAACAAAATTTACCACGATTTTTCTCATTTATAATCTCACGTAGAGAAATGAAAACCTCAAGTGTTATGAGACAATGACATTACATGTGTGAACTGATCAAGTAAGAGTTACAGTATATAATATACACATGATGTCAAGCAATGTAGAGGGTCAGTGCTGATCTAAGACAGGCTACTGATACTGTTGCTGCTGCTGCTGATGTGTTGTGGAGCAATTTAAATGTCTGATGCAACCTTTCACGTAAAATTAAATCATGGAGTTATGCTCGATATACGCTATGTAAATTTTAAGTAAATGTTTATTTTCAACTTATATGATTAATAAATCCTACTCTCCTGTACATTAAATTTCCTCCTTCATGTGTACTGTCTAATAATGTTTCGCATATCACTTCATAACAATCATTAATAGGAGCGTAAAATACTTGCAAATAATTTGTACATATTATAATGTACCTGTCAGTTTACACGAAAGGTTTAGTAAGATAATAATGGGTGCTGAATCGTTGTATCTGTAGCATGAAACTGCCAATGGATGAAAACCTACAAGAAAATATGAACGAGAAATACGTAGGTGAATACAAAGTGGTGGCGTCAATTCTCAGGCACTACAGTATTGTAAGTCAAAAGCTGCGTTTGACTCTAGGTGCATGTATCACAGACATGTACGTGACTCGCGTGATATTTCACATAGTAAACTTGATCAGCGAACCATATTTGCAAACAAATATATAAAAGTGGCATTACTGGAAACATACTGGCATCCAAACACAGGAAGGCTTCCCCCCTGTAGCTGCCATGGAAAGCCTAAATAACGCAGTGTAATACACTCACAATATAATGTGAACCCAGTGAATACTGCTAGACATTCAATTTCGTACAGCGATTCTCCAATGAATAAAATAGGAGTGATTTACTTAGGTACGAACACTTGGTTGCTCCACATGTAGGCTTCACTGTGCTAATCGGTGTTTCTATCGCCCACAAGAAGCGAAATAATACTAAATCATGACCGTAACCACACTGAAATCGAGGGGGGAGGGTGACCAATCACCCGACTTATTTTAAAGTTAATGCTCCTAAATCACAGCGGCGCCAAGCTGCTGCTATGTGCGCCCGCCATACATTAAATAGCTGCAGCATGTTGGTGAATCAATGTGAATAGCACCAGATCTCTGCTCCTTCATAGTGATCTCAAGTGCATCGAGAAGGTTCAGATCTTGGTTTATAGCTACTGGTAATGTTTTCCGCTTTTCTATTAATCAAGAGCCGCAGGGCGACTGGGCTCAACTGAGGTGTGTAGCCACGGTTATGAACGTAAAATTTCAGTCGTGCATAGTGACACATTTGTTAGGCGCAGATGTGCAGATACGCAGTTGCGTACACATCATTTCAGCAACCTTCTGCATTCTGCATACCTCCCAAATCCCATTGGTTGATACAAATCGCGCGCCTGAAACTCCTGTTTTATAGTGCATTGTAACCCTAACCCTAACCCTATTAAAGATAATAATAATTAATTGTTGTAAAAATTATTTGTTGTTATGAAATTGTTGTAAATAAATCATGTAAATATTTGCCATAATAGCATAATATTTGCATAATAGGCCCATTGATTATACAATGTTGACGAATGCTAGAGTAACTGGCACTTGTGTAGTTAATAAGTGCATTACCTTATAGCCAAACGTGTATTAGTTTGTCCAATATCACTGCTAATTACTAAGAAATGTCTAATTGAAATCCGTAAATCTGGTAATCTGGCACCAACACTAAAATGTTTGCCAAGCAAAATAGCCTCGAAACGGTTAGGTGACGTCACATGTTGCTACGGGTGTTCAGCAGAGAATTGTGTGGTCGTGGTTAGTCCGCGATCCCCCATAGTGTTGGCCCCCAACACAGCCTACTTCATTATCACAGGCGTCCGTGATTCGTACGTGGATTCGACGTTCGTTACAATCAGAGCTACTGTTACGTATACAGTTACGGTACTGTACTATCGCTAGCATTAGGTACAGCCGAGCATGCGTGCGAAAATGTCCGGTGCACTATAAATCTGTATCACACCGGCAGCGGTTTGAAAGTGAAACTGTAAACTGTAAACATTTCTTGGACTGCAGATTTCAATTCTAGTAACCAGCAGTGATATTGGACAAACTAACTTATTAACTTATATGTACTTATTAACTACACAAGGTGCCAGTTACGCTAGCATTCATCAAAATTGCATAATCAATGGGCCTATTATAACTTTAATTGGAAAGAAATAGTTAAATGGAAAAAGATAGAAAAATACACAAAACAGGTAAATAATAAAAAATCTGATGGGATTCGATCAAGGACCTTTGAGCCGTAATCCTGTGCTGTAGCTTTGGGCTATCAAGGATATTGGCTTTCCAGATTATGGATGTTCCATGAATATGAGAACACTGTGACATCATTGGGCAGTTCAGGAATCCATGTTTACCCTCCCTGAGGGTCAAAAGGTTATCCGACACTTACTCTTCGCATGTCAGCGGAAAGTACATTTCATGGTCCTTTCAATAAACCATAAAAATGGTAGGTCACCGCCTGAAACAAAAAAGTTTTTTATCACTCCGTCAGACCATGTCCTCAGAAAATGTCTAAAATCTGCCCTGTGCCCATTGACCTTTGACCTGTGACCTCAATTTCGGCACAGTGATGGCCTTTTCCTACCATGATGCTATACACCGACTATCACGAGCCTAGGTCGAGCCGTTTAGATTTGTGCCGCAATTCTGCATTTCCTCCCTATACTATATGTTAAGGAGGGAATGTTCCCACTTCTTTTACACCTCTTGACCTTTGACCTTTGACCCCCAGCTTCGACATCCCAACTAGTTTTCAAATTGCCCCCCCCCACGTCCCGAATATCGTGACCGTACGTCGACCGGTTAAGATTTGTGCCCAACTGTTGACAGACGGCCGGACACATGCACGCACGCACACACGCACGGACGCACGGACAATCATGTGATTCTACAAGCTGCATCTGACTACGTCAGATGAGCTAATAATTGACCCTACCTGGGAAACTAGATGCGTGTGCATATTGTTTCAGACCCCATTTACAGCCAGTGGTTAGTACTGTGAAGTAGAGCTAGAGTTGTTAATATGTGAAACGAAGTTTGGCATAAGCATGCAATGTTTGCATGTCTATCACAATAAGTTAGTCACGATTGCCTAATCAGTTAAGGGTTAATGGAAGAAACGCAGTGAAGCTGCATGCAAAATTGAAAGTCCATGCAATGTTAGTGAAAAAAAACTGGTCATGTAACATAGGGTATTCTGCCTGCCAAAGTTGCCTAACCCCACAGAAATCCACAGCACAGTGGCTTGTTAGTGAGTCGCTCAGAAAACGACAAGGCGTATTACAACAGTTTCGGTTACCTTGGTCCGTACTATTATGCACGTTTTAGTTACAGCTAGCGTACTGCTCCGAGCAAGGCACCAGTGAGTCACTACACTCGTCACACGACTGATCGGTGTCACTGACGCGCGGCAGAATCACGTGTCGCAGGTCAGCGACCTTTCGGTAGTACCTGCGCGCGACCACCGACACGACAAACATCTCAAATGTCAGCAACAGGTGGTGCAGTTCTGAAAAAAGCAGACGTGAAAACGCTCAGTGATGGCACCCCGGCGGCTCGAGCGTCGTGAGGGCCGGTCGCCAGCGCCCCCTTGCGCTTGACCCGACGCGCAGCGAGGCCGCCCTCACAGAGTGACGCTTCGTGCCCGTGCAGCAGCCGCCACGATGCCGCCTCCCTGTTTTAGAGTGAGGGTCGACCGTGGCTCCATCTGGCGTCACAGGCGACACGTTACAGTGAATTTGGGATCGGTGGACGACGACGTATCGCAATCCTCAATGCTGTGAGGGACGAATTCCGAAGACTGTATGCGCCGGTAGTAGATACGGGCGAACACAGAGATAGCGAACATCTCAAATACCATCATGAGGAAGTGCAGCTCTAGAAAGAAAGGGCAGAGAACTTGCTTGTCCATCACAAACACTACGCATTTAAAAGCAACAGTAAAGCAGCTACTACTATACACAAAGGAACCATGACTAGACCAGTGCAGACACAACACTGAAGCAGACAAAAGACATCTCTCACACCCATGAAATGCAGGTGTCTCGTTGATGTTCTATTGAAAATTTTAAATAAAAATGGTTTTGATTTATGCGAGCATAACGAATTTCTATGACTAGTAAATGTACATTGTTTCCAGCAATCACTTAACTAAAACAAAGATTCCAAACAAACAAAATTGATATCTAAAGTGGCATGAGGATTTGTGTCCAACTTTGTGAAGTGATACGGGAAGAGTGTTGTACATATATGCTCGTAAACGACTACGTATAAAAGGAAAATAGATGCAGTGTTCATCCGTAACAGTGGCACGTTATTTTGCGCAGTTCACTCGTAAGGAGTGCAACCTGTGGTGTATTACATACGAACCGTCACCGTGCAGCACATGCTGTCAGGCAGCTACATACCCTACGACTAGAACTACATTGATGACATGTAGCAGCGGGCATTCCTCATGCAGCCTAATGGACACCCAGCTCAGTCAATGCTGAATACACACAACAAGATGCTAGAAAACATTTATGACTAAACACGGAATGCAACAGTGCATTGCTAACAAGTATATTGCTTAATATTTTGCTAATTAATTGCGAGAAATGTGAAATGTAGCTGTGACATGCACTATAAATTCACAGCGTGCGTAATTGTATCAATAAATGTAGCCGTGCCAGTTCACAATTAAATTTAAAATGCTGCTTAAGCGAATTCATCTTTAAATGCTCTGTGACACTGCTTACCTTATTTCATCTCCATAAAATAGCAAGGGCAATAGCAAGGCATATTTTTTATTGAAGAAAAAAAATTTAGATGGGTTCGCATAGGCTTTAAATGTTATTCACATTTAATATGAATACGGACTTTAAACTAGCTATAAATTGTAACACGATCAACTTTTAAAACAAGCGAATAACATGGCAGCGACCCAGCTACTCTTTGAATATATTAGAAAGTACTTTAAATAAATTCACAACTGAAAAAATATCCTATCGCCAAGTCACTCAGATTATGTCCTAGAAGAATAATTAAAACTGGCCTTTGACCAGTGACCTCCACGTTAAAAATTGGGTGGAAAACTGGCATTATGATGCAAATATATTCTTATATATTGTGAACTATAAATGACACGAACTACACCAAAGAATTTTTGCCGTCATCAAGGATTGTCTATGAAAATAAATGAAGGAGAAAAATGTATTCTACTGTACCACCTTGTACTTACACATTTTAAACCATTGATCTGATCATTCTACATTTACTACCAACCAATAAGTTAAGTATGCTAAGTTCAGTAATATTTGCCTTCGTGTAATAAAGTGTTATGTAATCTATGCTGGATGGCACAAAGTAGTGCTAGAGTATACTGGAATAAGAACATGCATCTAGGTCTCTACAGTAAAAAGTCCCAGCAAGTGGCACTTGGTACACGTACCATCACAAACAAAACGTGCTACACACCATGCATAAACATTTGCTGACAGACACATGAACACGCTAACACAATCACTATGCCCAACACTGATACTACACTGAAATACCATGTACTACATCCACTTACATTGCAAAACACGCAAAAGTTATCTGCCCATGCTTTCGGATGAACAAACGGGTAGGCTACTGGCCAGGAGGAAACTATGACTGCTAAGGACAGCTCTCTCATTCGGCTGGAGACCAGTGATGTAAGGAGGAAATGCCTGTCCAAAGCTGTAGAGATGGGTACAGCTGCCCAACGTGAAGAACTCAAACAAAATGCGCCACTTTACGAAGTTACAATTCGAAGACGGCTGAGCAGCACAATTTTCATTCTAAAATAATTTTGTCACGTGCCAAAGGACATTTCTATGGCTGTGACTGGCTATTTATAAAATGATTTTGAACATTTTAGTTAGTATGATTATCACCAGACATTGTTGTGCGTGTGTAACGGATCACTCCTAAAATTTCCTCAAACGTTGGTCATTGTCACTGCAGAGGGTCTTGACCTTTACTCAGGTTACTTTTTGCTACTATTTAGTGGCCCTTTCTAAACATACTGAAACAGCTTCAATGCCACAACAATGCCCTATTGTAAAATTTAATTTATATGGAATAGGTAAATTCATGTTGATATGTGCTCCTAGTCCTTTTTATGCAAGTTTAATAGCACTATACATGTATATTACTAGGGCAGATGGGGTCGTTGTCGTATCAGGTACTACAGATATGTACCCGAGGTAGTTTTAGGTTGTTTTGTATTATTTATGTTTATATTTTTATATGAGGTATGTTTAGGGTTAGGGTTAGGGTTAGGGTTAGGGTACACTTCTGTAGTACAAGTCTGGTACACTTTGTGTATGCATATATGTACCTCGGGTACATATCTGTAGTACCTGATACGACAACGACCAATTGAGCATTACTAGGCTCTGATTAGTGGGGTGTCACACAGCACTGAATGCTGATTAGCAACATTAACTGGTATATTTGTACTAGATTATGTCAAATATTATTAGTTCCAGCAGTTTTGAGGACTAAATCAGGACACCCCACTTCTAACTGTAGGCCTACTATAAGCAAACTATATTGTAAATGATTGAATCCTTTCGATACAGGGGCGTGTGGCCTAGACTATGCTCACATAAATGCTCGTACGCTTCCTATTGTGGATATACCTCGTAACGGGCTCAACCACGATTATAAGCTTGTGCTGCTCGAAATGGTGCAACTGGTATGCTGTGAAGTCAAAATGGATTATGCAGATGATTTACAGGACGTACCAACTGTGGCACGAGTATGTGACTGTAGTGTGGAGAGTCTGTGTAATGCACTTTACCTATTCCACGTGTTTCTGTGACGAGGGGTGCAATGCACTTGATGACGTTGTTGCCAGCTAGCAGTATCAGAATCATCCCTTGTACATTGCTGAGGACTAAAACCACCTGTGGAGGAAGCAGTTTGCATGGTTAGCAATGCGCCCAACTCAAAACACATGAACAAGTACACTTAAGTACATTGACACTTACCTACCACTCTATCCTTTTCATATCAATATAAGTCTATAAAATTTATGCATTCATTTGCAAATTTATTTGGTCAGTTTTTGCCAAAGACATTCTGACAGTGCACAGAACTATTCTCCTGATGGGCCCTGAATAAATACCGATCTGTCAAAACATTGCATAGGTGAACACCACCACCTATAAATATTAAGCATACCTGTGTGCTAAAAAACTTAGCAGTAATGTGGTAATTTGATAGTGGCTCTTTAGCTAATCTGCAAAACATAAATAATGAATTATTAATCTTACTATTAATACAGATGTTCAGGTTCATACATAGTACTATATTACTATAATATATGCCCGATGTATAATGCTATAGTGCTATAATGCCTATATTACTATATTCCTACTATAGTACTAGGATTAGGCAGCTACTGATGTGTAGCAGACACTGGGTGTGTGAAGAAGGCTGGGGTCCAGGGTTATACCTCAAGAGGTCGCGAGCTCATTAAGCCTACGTTACATATGCAACAAGGTGCCATTCCTGCATGCAAATCACACGGGGCCTTTCTTCTACGTTAATCTCGAGCGAGAAAGGCGGCGGACACGTTTCTTTGGGTGTGTGAGTGAGTGGGCAAAGAATCTGGTGAGTAGGCAGTTATCGTGGTCGGGTAAAGGAAAGCGAGAGGGAGGTTGCTGCAGTGGTAGCTGCCGTTTGTGTGATCACGTAGGATCAAGTAGAAGTCAATACTGGTCCCAATGCGAGGAGTTGCCAGACCAGGTGAGTACGCATTGTAGGTTGATGGTGGCGGAGAGTAAGCCGTGGCACAGTCAGCGCGAACGTGAAATTTCGCACTTCCGTGTAGATAGAATATGCATTACAGGGAGCATAGATATGCTGGCGTGCAGCTGGTGGCTCCCCCAGCAATTGCAGTAAAAGCACGGTATGCAAGGGTGGGCACCAGAATCTGGGACTCCGTTGTCAGAAACAAAATTTGACTTATCATTAGTTTTAACTATTTCTTTCTATCTTTTATATTCTATATTATATTCTATCTTCATAACTTTTCCTTGTAGACCGGACCTCTACACACAGCATATCAGAAACTCGTGAAAAGCTTGCTATGTTTCTCTCAATGGTATATAAGAAACTGTTAACATTACGACCAATGCTAAGCCAGATTTTGTTTCTGAAAACTTGCCCCTGGATGGCTGTTCTGCCCAGCATAATTCTGTCTGTTGTTAGTGGCTGTGCAATTGGCATACATGGCCTTTCAGGCTCACTGTGCACGTGTTAGTAGCATGCGGGCACGTGATCAGCTGTGAGGGCTTGGGTGTTTGGTATGGGCCCAAGGGGTAAGCCAGTATAAACGGAAACTGCATGCACGGAACAGATAACTGCTGACTGACAGTAACATGTATTCCGGAATGTGCGCCTACACGTGACAGGGCACTGGGCGTGAATTGTCTGTTTGTCGGTGCATGTGCGAATAAAGTCCCTGTTAATGATAATGATAATATGTGATATATATGTGTCTGTCCATCATAATTGTGTAGTGTCGTGGGCACGCAGGGCATGACGTCCATCCCTCGCCTAATCAACTAACCCTTCTGTTCCCAACCCTACGTGTAACAGGGACCTGGTGAGCAAGCTCTAGGGGGAAGTCACTTCTCGTCCCATAGGGGTTCCGTTAGTAGCCAGGCTAGGCAGGCCGGGGACAGGAGAAACATGGACGATGATACATAACAACACGCATGTTACAGAATTTACTGTCAATAATATCAAAACAAAGAAGACTTACACTAGTTCCAATGTTAAAGGCATACTAGGCCCATTGATTATGCAATGTTGACAAATGCTAGAGTAACTGGCACCTTGTCAGGCTTCTCCCTACGTTGCGCAAACCGGGCGCGCCCGCCCCGTTTGGGAAAACTCCCCCCCCCCCGTTTCAATCGTTGCGCCACGTTTAAATTATTTCCGCCCCAATTAAAAAAAAAAATATTTTCTTTTAAAAAAAAATGGGAATGGCTACATGAGGAACAGGCTGAGTGAGTCAGCTTTGGAGGCGCTGCTGCTACTGGCAATTGAGGGGCCACCTCGGCACGAATTCCCATTCGACCCACTGGCAGCAAGAACAAGTTCGCACCTGCAGCTACAGCACACACGCATCTATTGACTATATATATAACAACGTTATATATAGTTGTTATAGTAGTTATAGTTGTTATAGTAGCTATAGTTGTTATAGTAGCTATAGTTGTTATAGTAGTTATATATAACTATATATAATGTTGTTATACATAGTCAATAGATGAGTGTGTGTTGTAGCTGCAGGTGCGGACTTGTTCTTGCTGCCAGTGATTCGACCAGGCCCCCGGACCCCCCTAGTTTCCCCTCCCCTCCCCCTCCCCCTTCCTTTGTATTAGTTTGTACAATATCACTGCTGTTACATTACAAGCAAGACTTGAAATCGGTTGTTGATATTCATTTACGTGCCGTAAATGTCATCCAAGAGTCAAGCGATGACGTAAACATTTGTGCGGCCCGTATGTTTGGATGCCAGATGAAATGGAGGTGTCAGTGGTGTAACCACGGCCACGACTAAACATGGAAATGGGGTAAAACACACGTACTAATCACTGACGCACATGGACAGCCCTGACAAAAAGTTCCTTATCACGAGCATCCGTGTTTATGAAATCACTGATGATAGCATTGCGTACGGGCGAGCATGCATGCGAAAATGTCCGGTGCACTTATAATCTGTATCACCACCGCTTCGCGGCAGTGGTTTGAAACTGTAAACAACTGATTTCTTGGACTGCGGATTTCAATTAGACATTTCTTAGTAACCAGCAGTGGTATTGGACAAACTAATACGCGTTTGGATGTAAGGTCATGTACTTATTAACTACACAAGGTGCCAGTTATTCTAGCATTCGTCAACATTGCATAATGCAGGCAGTGGATGGATGTAAGGTCATGTACTTATTAACTACACAAGGTGCCAGTTATTCTAGCATTCGTCAACATTGCATAATGCCGGCAGTGGTTTGAAACTGTAAACAACTGATTTCTTGGACTGCGGATTTCAATTAGACATTTCTTAGTAAACCGAATCACAGTGGTATTGGACAAACTAATACGCACGTTTGGGATGTAAGGTCATGTACTTATTAACTACACAAGGTGCCAGTTATTCTAGCATTCGTCAACATTGCATAATCAATGGGCCTAGTAATGATGCCTTTAAGCTGGTTGGCACAATACATAACAATTAACATGAATATTTTAACTAAAAATATACTTTAATAATTTATATATATCTAATAACATGAAACTGATTAACATATTGAATATTTGTTAATACCAATTTAAATAGATATTAGCGGCGTCTACACTATGCTAAAACCTGGGTTTACCGCATCTACACTGTTGCTAAAACGCGGGTTTTAGAGGTGGGTTTTGTAAAAACACGGGTTTTACAAACCCGCCAATATTTCCGGGTTTTGCTCTGCTAAAACCCGCGTTTTAGTCGAGCGCCGTAGTGTAGACAGAACATGACAGAAAACCCGCGTTTTAGCTGCACGCCAGACTCGGCTACAGGTGGCGCAACCATACCGGGGATATGCTTGATACAACCGAAATACTTAAAACCCGGCATTCACGGAAGGTGGGTTTTTGACAGTGTAGACGCTGCACCACCGAAAAATCGCGTTTTACTAAACCCGGGTTTTAGTCTATAGTGTAGACGCTGCACCACCGAAAACGCGCGTTTTACTAAAACGCGGGATTTAAAAACCCGGGTTTTAGTCTATAGTGTAGACGCCGCTATTATGTTTCCTATAGCCCCCCCCGGGGGGGGGGGTACTCCACATAGTGACGTATATATATATATGTGCCGCATTATTGCCCCAAATTTTTCGTTTTTCTTGCCATCTTTTTGCCTCAAATTTTTTCATAGCCATCTTTTTGGCCCCCAATTTTTCCCTTGCCATCTTTTTGCCTAGTCTTTTTGTCCAGAAAATTTCCCTTTTAATATCTGGCACAAGCGGGGGGGGGGGGGGTCACTGAGGCATCTGCGGCTCATCTCCCCGCTCATCTCTCGCGTCTAAAGTTTTCAACCCCGTTACATGGGAAAACTGCGGAAATGTTGCTGAACATAAGCTATCTTTTTGCGCTCAGCTTTCCCATTTATGTGGAGTACCCCTACCCAACAAAAGGTTAGTACCCCCCACCCCAGGAGTTCCCCTCGACAGGAATGAGAATTGATGTTTAAAATCATAATTTACAGTACATTTACAATATATTTGATAGAGGGGAAATAGGGAGGAATTCTATGAGTGATAATTAATTCTATATTTCTTATAAATGCTTTGCCATCCTGACGATACGGAGTGCAATCCCTGTTTTTTTTCACTGTGTGCTTTTCCTTTTCAGTTATAAATCAAGACGCATCTAGCTGGAACTGAGACTGCACTACATGTATGCATAGTGACACTAGCGCCAAAACCCACACTGCGGAGAGAGGTGGGTAAATATTGAGTTATACCTAGATAACCTGAACATCAATTAAAGGGTCAGTCAGACGTACTTCCACAGCTACTGTATTTGTGAGCATAGGTCCGGATGTCACAAAGTTCCTGTTATTTCATTGAGTCATTCCGAATCAACGTTCTAAGTGAATCAGCTATAAAAATGTTTATATCTCAAAAAATTTAAAGTGATATTTGGGGAGAAATTTCAATAGTTCTCCATGTGAAATCATACATTTCTTATAGATTTAGCAGTAATCCAATGATTGTGCCTATTTTGTTACCTGAGCATGCAAAAATCACACTAAGACATAAATGAGCAATGAAAGTAAATTGTTACCATTGTCATTTCTCTTAATTTTTCATTAAAGTCAATGGTTAAGAAAGAACTACAGCTTAAACAGCATGCCAAACTTATGCAGCACGCCTACGCTTATGCCATCAATTGCTAAAACACCAAGTCAAAAAGAGAGAGAGAGATGAACATAATTTTCTCTCACCTGTACAACATGACGAGACCCCAGACTGCCAGGGCTGTCGACGCACCCGCCAGGCTGGTTATATACAAGTAAGCACTATCCAGTGCTATCTGCAGGAAGACACAGACACACACACACATACAATCAGTCACAGCTGCTCGATTTCCCCAGTGATCGGTCTCGATCCCTCGAGCAGCAAGAACACCTCACTTTATGACACCGACATAACATTTCATTACGCAATCCAAACTGATGCACATATTTTGCTTAACTCATCTTGAGATAATGACATTAGCAAGGACCTCTTCAATGAAAAGAGACACATCTGTGTATTGATATACATGGTGACCCAAAAAAAATGCAACCCAAACAAGTGTTAATAACTTTTTTGATATTGATGTTAACCCTTTAATTTTTCAGATTTAAAGAGGTGAATAGTTGCCAATCAGATTAGAATCAAGAGTTTTTCAAGATGCCTTGGACTCTTCGACAGAAATCATGGTCCGTGGAAACGTACTTTTCGACCAAATCGTTCAAAACTGTACAAGCACGTTTCAAGAGGGAATTCAATTGCCGCACCTATCCAAACAAAGGACTCATTCTAAGATGGATACAGAAGTTCAGGGTGCATGGGACTGTCAAGAACCTCAATGCCAAAGGAAATACTCCCACACACTCAGGGAGACAAAGGAGTGCAAGGACAGAGGAGAACATCACTTCAGTCAGGACCTCGGTTGGCCGCAGTCCAAAGAAGTCGTTACGTTGGCGCAGCCAACAATTGGGCATTTCGAGGGAGTCTCTAAGGAGAATTATCTGGGTCAGCTTATGCTTAATTTCTATCCTGTATGGGTACGAATGCAGATCCTAAATCAAAATTCTCCTCAGAGACTCGCTCGGAATGCTCCATTGTTGGCTGCGCCAACGTAACGACTTCTTTGGACTGCGGCCAACCGAGGTCCTGACTGAGGTGATGTTCTCCTCTGTCCTTGCACTCCTTTGTCTCCCTGAGTGTGTGGGAGTATTCCCTTTGGCATTGAGGTTCTTGACAGTCCCATGCACCCTGAACTTTTGTACCCATCTTAGAATGAGTCCTTTGTTTGGATAGGTGCGGCAATTGAATTCCCTCTGGAAACGTGCTTGTACAGTTTTGAACGATTTGGTCGAAAAGTACGTTTCCACGGACCATGATTTCTGTCGAAGAGTCCAAGGCATCTTGAAAAACTCTTGATTCTAATCTGATTGGCAACTATTCACCTCGTTAAATCTGAAAAATGAAAGGGTTAACATCAATATCAAAAAAGTTATTAACACTTGTTTGGGTTGCATTTTTTTTGGGTCACCCTGTAAGTGGAAACAGATACACCTAACAATGACAGTGTTGTGATGTGATTAATACTACTTACTTTTCCAGGTTTATATGAGCCATTTGCCTCCAATACTGCAGCGACAAACATTAGAAACGGGTGAAGAATTGCCATCTGTAACACCAACTTCTTCATCCGGAGAAAGTTCCCCCTGAAAAAAGGACATGAACGACAGATGACTAACAGAGCTATGTGTATTTTCTATCAGAGTGAGATTCCATGAGGAATCCATGTCCAATTATAGCTATCATATATATTATGAAAAGAATACAATTTTAGAATGATATCCTATTCTTAGATGGGAGAGCATAACATTGCTTTATAAATACTTTGCATGTGATATTTTTTATCTCTTGCAAATTACGCAATGACTGGAGTATGCTCAATCATTCAAGCAAATTACTTACCACATCAGCTGCTCACAAATTGCACACATGGCCATAGTCAATAAATAATTTTAAAAAAAGGTCACCCTAAATGTCTGCAAGCACTGCACATCATGAACAGATGCCAACTACATATATCCATCTCTATCAGGTGCTTCTACTGACTTAAGTACATATATTCTATGGAGAATCTGTAAGTTTCACTTCCAGTAGTGCACCAGTTCAAATTAGGCTATTTATAGAGGCTATGTATAGAGCTTTACGCAAAGCCAAAATATACACCATTGCATCATCTCGTTTACCACTGTCCATCTCGATTCAACTCAACATTCCACATTATCTCTCCACCTCACCTTGTTAGTTTGGCATGGTCCTGAAAGCAGCACAGGAAGCATCCCAGGGGAACACTCTTCAGCGGAATACCATGGTCAGGGAGCATGTTGAACAGCTTCTTCTTACCACCAAAATAGTCGACTATCAGTTCAAAGAACTGGTAGACGCAGATTGCCAAGTAACTGAGAAAAAAAACGTTGTACGTGGCTGTAATCGGACCGTTTGAAGCTGCAAGATATATGAGCGACAGTAACCGGAGCCAGCAAAACACGGGTGGGACGGTATGTAGAAAATTCCTTGGCCATTTGTTTCACGCACAAAATTTGTGATGAAGAATTAATCAGTTGTCGTGACTTGGAATGAGAATCGCACCGAGTTCTGCCAACCAAAGAACCTTTTTTTCGATGGCATACAGAGATCGATGGTGTTGCCGGCAGCTTTGATGTGTACATATGTATCACATCCAGGGCAACATTTTGCCTAGCGATAAAAAATAATGGGCGATCAATAGACAGCTGGGGAGAGTCTGAGCAGCAATGGTATTCCAGCTGCAGCTATATCCTCAATATTGATATTCCAATAATTGACAAGTCTTGTGGTTTTACTTTAAGATATAACCGAGCGGAAACTGCTTGCTGCAACAAATTATTTTCCCTGGGCAGATGTTCCATGTCGTTGATGAGTCGTCCACATCAGGACTAATGATTCATTGGTTGGCAGGATAACATAATGAGTGTGCTAGCCGACCGAACCACCAATACTAAGCGGAGGATATGCAGGAGAAAGGTGGCGGATATATACACGTCTGCTTTTCAGTGGTACGGAACTTAATTAGCGAGTACACCACTTACTTACCATATTGCCACAAGTTGGGCCAGTATGGATGCTCGAGGGATGAACAACCCAAGCACTGATGTCCAGGAAAACACCTGCACATAGAAGCAGTGGCATACATGCAGTGTGTGCTCATTATATACCAATAATTCCATTCCATTGGATACTGGCAATGGCAGAATAGTCAAAATATTTCTAACGTTACAGATTGGCTACTTTTATATTGTTAATCTCACAACTGTTAGCTTGCTGCAGATGGATTTCCTACTAAAGTACGATCTATAAACAATTGTCCAATGCTTTTTAGATATAGCATTTATAATATGTAGTTCCATTAGTATTGTATATGCTACACAACCCTACAAGTTGCACATCTTCTAGTATTGATGCCCCCCACACACATGCATGCACACACACACGTACGTATGTATATACTCAGATGAAGGAGCTGCTTGGGTACTGGACTTACCGGATACAGGCCCAGCAGAAAGTAGTATCTAGCTTTCCGTTCTGATGGCAGCTGGGGTACTTTTCTCAGGAAGAGAACCTCATCGATGTAGATGAGGAAGGTGAAGGAAGCTAGCACAATCACGATCCCGGCCAACACAAAACCCGCTCGACTCATGTCTGCCAAACAACATTCAGTCACACAGCGTTAGTTACTAAGAGCATGTCATTGACTACTATAGTGAGAGTTCAGACTAATATAATTAAGCCAAAAAATAATATTATTAAATTGTAATTTTTTTTTGTATAAATTGCATTTTTATTAATTAATACTGGGTATTATTATACTATCAATTAACTTTCAATAGTGCCTGGGGTTTCTGTGAACTGTGCACTTCCTACATATTGCAAACTTTGCAAACAGGAAAGAATTTTCAACCGATTTTTTACAGCAAGAGGTTGCTGGACACATTAGGGACAATATAGTGTTTGACGGCCATCTAAAGGCTTTTAAATAACCAGTGAGGTACACAAACTTGTTTTAGCTCGTGAATTTAAACACTCACACTAAGCAAACCTGTACTCCAAACGATTTGGCATTGGACCAAAACAAATTACCTAGCCTGCCAAGCACTGTGTGCTGGTGCTGTGACACATACGACATATTCAACAAATACGAATGCAATGAATGAACGAATGCAGCGACAGAGCACTGACATAGCGAAAATCGCCATTTATTCTGGCAGAATGCTGCGGCACGCTCGATCAGCCTGGCTCCATCATGCCATGCAAGACACGGACGCAGACAGGGGGTGCAGGAATGCATGGGGTGGCTGATGAATTATTTAGGATGCTTGCAGGTGGTTTGTGTCACACGCCCAGCTGCCTTTGTTCCGACATACTGCCAGGCAACTCACACCGCTCCTCACCATAAACACCAATTTCATCACATGCAAGTACGTACGTACGTCAGGTACGCACCGTGAGAGGCAGCTTATTATGACCATAAAAGTGCCTTTACAACGACTTGTCATCGCAGCACAGCGTTGTTATGGCAAGTGAACGGGTTAAAGGTTGGTGAATAAAAATTATTCAGACCGAGTTCCGACTTCTTCCACAACACCATGATCTTAAAGCGTTTATGCTATCAAAAAAATAATCTCGATAAAAACAATGTCTAAAACAATAAAAATGATGAAAAATATTCTTTGGTCATCTTTGGTATTTCAAGCAATGTTCTGCTTTCAAAAACTAACCTCATTTTGGTAGGCTCAACATGCCTTTACACGATTTACACAAAGGTGGCAAAAAACTGCACAGGTTTAGGTCGTAATGTTATTTTGCCAGTCTTATTTGGCCACTGAAAAGTAACTCTAGGGACAGTGATTTTCCGTTTCAAAAAATTGCCTTTTCCGTTTGGGAAAATCATTAATTCCGTTTCAAAGTCAAGAAAAAATGAAAATTCCGTTTTGCCATAGAGATTGTACACACCAACAAGTGCCGCGGAGCGACAGCGCTCATCTAACGTCTGCTGCGGTGACTCTGTGGTGGAGTGGTGGGATTCTAGTAAACCCTGTTAATCCCAAATGTCACATACACGCCGAAACAGTGGAAGGCACAGGAATGGTATCAGGAACCTTCTCAAAGGAATGTTCGTTGGGATTGTTATGAAAGTTGCCACGAGATGCGCGTACGTTTAAGTGTCTTCAGATTAAAGATGGAAGCTCCCATCGTACGTAGTAGCAACAACTATTTGCAAGACAGAATAGGTAAGCACTCATCCATTTACCTACACAAGCCTACAAGCTGAAATAGAGAGCTGCCACCTGTAACTAATTAACGCAGCCAAAAACTACACAGTACCACCACCACATGCACTGGCAGTGACCACTGGCAGTGGCATACGTTACATGTAACACACTGACAGTACAGAATGCCATAGAAATTATACGATTTAAAGAGCATAAACCTTCTTCAACCAAATTTAGCTTTTGAAATTTCACTGTGACATTGTAGCCTCATACATCCCGGCATGTATAGATTCTACTAGCAAACCCGGCAGTCACATTCTTTCTAACAGTAAACAAATCCATGTTTAACCCGCCTCTTGAGGGTTAAACGGTTATCTGACACTTACTCTTCGCATGTCAGCAGAAAGTACATTTCATGGTCCTTTCAATAAAGCTATAAAAATGCTAGGTCACCGCTGAAACAAAAAAGTTTTTCAATCGCTCCGTCAGACCATGTCCTCAGAAAATGTCTAAAATCTGCCCTGTGCCCATTGACCTTTGACCTGTGACCTCCAATTTCGGCACAGTGATGGCTTTTCCTACCATGATGCTATACACCGACTATCACGAGCCTAGGTCGAGCCGTTTAGATTTGTGCCGCAATTCTGCATTTCCTCCCTATACCTTAAGTTAAGGAGGGAATGTTCCCCCTTCTTTTACACCTCTTGACCTTTGACCCCCAGCTTCGACATCCCAACTCGTTTTCGGATTACCCCCCCACGTCCCGAATATCGTGACCGTACGTCGAGCGGTTAAGATTTGTGCCCAACTGTTGACGGACGGACGGACGGACGATCATGCGATTCTACAAGCTGCATCTGACTACGTCAGATGAGCTAAAAATGCAAAATTCCATTTACATATATTTGCATGAAAAAAAAAGGTATTTGGTACAACCTTTGAAAGAACCTAGTGATTCGTGAATATCATGCCGAGGGTAGTGCTTACGTACCGCTGACTTCAGTAGTTGTATTTTTTAGGCCACTGACTGACAGTTGGGTTGGCACCGAAACACAAGGCTACCAAAAGTCGTAATTGTAAGTCAATTCGCTCTGAAACTTGTCTGAATGTAAACCATATCATTACCAATGCTACTGTCTATTATCGAATTTCCATGTTGTAATACGTTCAAATAACGTTTTCCGCGTTTCCGTGTTTTCCGTCCGTTTTCCGCGATCACGGAAAATCACTGTCCCTATAACTCCCAAGCAACCACCATGATAAGAAGACTTCGAATTTGAAAAAAATCTAATTGAATACTCAAAATGATCCCTACACATCCTGATAACTCAGGCGAAGCGTTACAGCACTGTCATACACGCAACATTTATACTGAAAATATTTTGATTCCAAGCAATTTAGCAATATATAAAATATCCCAATTCAGACGGAAACTGAAGTGAGCCTCTGCATTCCTGGTTTAATGAAAGTCCATACGCAGACAAGAAAAGAGAAGCATATGCGCATGCCAAGTAGATTTGCTGACCAGAGGAGTCTGTCAGACAAAGGTTAGTTACACAGCCATTCCAAATTCAAACCGATAATATGCAAAGTAGAAAATATAGAAACAGTCGACCGACAATATTCATTCCTGACGATTGCACCAATCACAGAGTCGACATAAAATGCCCAATGATGAACGCAGAAACCGCTTGTACTTCGCCAATCAACATCAATCCATGCATGCACATTATGCGGATACACTTGCAAGGCTAGGTGAATAACTCACCACTGTAAATCTCCCAAATGGTGGGTCTCACGTGTGTGCAGCGCAAGCTACTGCTAAAGTTGAGTGTAATCAGAGACATCGTTGTTGCAACGGAATCCTCACGCATACACTGACTGGAGTGATTTCACAAAAACACTGCCGACTTATTAAGGATGTAAGACTGCTTCACGTGGCTGACAGCAGAACAGAAGACAGAGAGCACAATATACAGGGAAGGAGAATAAAGCAGACATATATAAAGATAAAGCAGGAGGAGCAAGAGTGGGGAAGAGACAAGGATAGAGAAAGAGAGACAGAGAGAGAGAAAGTGATAAAAAGAAAAGGACAAAGAAAGAAAATGAGAGAAAGAGAGATAGAGACGGGGGGAGAGAAGGTGTGTGTGTGTGTGTGTGTGTGTGTGTGTGTGTGTGTGTGTGTGTGTGTGCGTGCGTGTGTGCGTATGTGTGTGTGTGGGGGAGGGGGGCGAGACAGAGAGAGAGAGCGAGAAAGTGAGAGAGAGAGAGAGAGTTAGTGTGAAAAGGATGTACCAGTCCGGTGCCCGAAACACGTCAGCCACAGTCAACTGCCTCTGAATTCATAAGGTCTATCTTGCCTTACAATCTCCACTTGATGGTCTTAATACCAAGATGCTCCACCAATCAATATACTAGGCTTTATGAGCCAACAGCATCACTGCTATTTGGAAATGCTTCTGCACATGATCACGTTGTGACAGCAACTTCATCATGTAAAATTGGCACCTGTTCCCGATTATTTTGCCATTAATTACGCATTCTGCGATAGTTATCACATCATGCCTGCTTCCAGCATCTGTACACTCAATTCAATCCTTGGCAATAATACAGGGGCCAGAATCTAAAAATGGCTTCACTATAGAGCTGAAAGATAATGCCTGGGTGCAAATGTTGTAGACTATGGGCTTGCACATTCAAAGTGTCACTATTTCTTCTTTTACACATATATTCACATTATATCGGTAATATAGTAAATAAAAATGTTTTTATGCACTCCTGACACTACGGAATGGTGTACAACACGTATTTTACACTGCAGCCAATAGTACTTGACAAGCTGGAAAATATTTTTTTAAATTCACACAGGTCTGGTAGATCTGAATGGGTAAATTAAAATGCCATGCAACTCAATAAATAATTTAAATAAAACTCTGCGCTCATGTTGGCTACTTACCATGAAAGACCACTTCAACAGATGGTATTTCTTGAGTACAATTTAAATTATCATTAAGGCTGACTAGTGCCATCTTTGAGGCACTTCAAAATGGCCCCTAGAGCTCTATGCCCAATGTAAGACTCTTGATGTACGTAACAGGAAGAAGTCTACCAGTTGAGTCCATCCTAGCCGTTACAACCTGCAACGACAACATGGTGCCAATCAAACTATAATCAATTGTAAATATAGGTATACCAAAAACCAAGTCTCAGACAATTTGATAGCTGAGGCAAGAATGCATATTTAGCACACAGTTGTAAATTGTGATAAGGAGACATGAACTTTTTTTGCTTAGCTTAGCAGTGTGTTAGAGACAAGTGACTGGTTTCATTGTGTTAGAATGACAGATTATTACTCGAGTAATAAATGATCTAAACTACACTGATAGACAAGCGTACTTCGACTAAAACTATCGAACTTGGTTTTCACCTTTTACCAAAAGATTTTTTTATCAATGGACTCTCAATATGGCACTGTGTCAAACCAACTGTACTTGTACACTTGATAGCAAACAATTGAGCATAAAATCCTATTCAGCTGGCAATATTGTTTAAAGGAATACTTGACTCTAGGTTCTAGGGGTATTTTCAGTTGATTTAGGTTAAAATTACGCTACATTAAAAATTTCATTGTTCAATCACCATTAGAAATATATTTTTTTTTATGTTTTAAAACTGACAACTACAGTTTGATTACAACGACGGTGGCGCCACTCAAAGCGCACTATCTGAAAAGTTGCGCAAATGAACATTTCAGCAAATGGCTACAGACCGTGGGTGTTTCTTATTTATTAATTTAAGAGCAAAAGGATTGCAATATTTTATAAACTACATATAGTTTCAGTTATAATATGGATAAATTAGTCATAAAATAAATATCGTTCGGTTAAATAGCATTTATGTATAAATATAATTGCACTTTTGTGATTAGCCTTCGGTCTGTAACGTGCAAAATAAATTGGCAAATGCGCAACTTTTTCAGGGTGGCAGCACGATCGTGGATGTCATGTCAGCGCCCAAAAATGAAAATTTCGAAATTCAATTTTGTTTTATGACAAACGTGAATGCGTAATTATATATATTTGTAGGTATGTGCTATTATTTATCACTACTGTCATACTATCATACTGTCATCTACTGTCATAATATGCTCTCAAATTCTAGAGTAGAGTATATCTTTAAAGATACTTTTAGGGTTACAGATGGGTAACACTGTAAAGGGCATTGCAACATAACTGCTCATCAATTTCAATCAAACTCATATCCATTACATAAGAGAGATGTCTCTCTACACTCTCGATAGAATTTCTTTTAATTCATCGGTAATTAAGTGACGGCAAAAAATGTTAATTTATACAAAAAAATGTTTTTTTTATTTCTCAGAAACAGCAAAGTTGGGACCTAAACTTTTAACCATAAGTTGTTCATAATATGAACTAAAAAAGAGTCCCTGGAAGTTGAAAAGATGTACGAAAATTTGTAATGATTTTCAAAACGCAATTTCGTAAACAAATAGCCATAACTTATAAAATATAATATTTAAAAAAAAATTCCAAGGACTTTTTTCCTTTGATATGTTAGCATTGAAACATAACAAAAAATTTTGGAATCAGAGCTGTGAGTTTCGAGAAATAGCGTTTGAAAAATCAGCAACTTCAGCATTTCTAACAATGGAGATATTAGCACTTGTGTATATATAGCACTGTTATATTAACGCCTGTGTTAAGAATTGACTAATGCAGGGATTTGGAACTGTTCTGAAGGCTACATGTATACATAATTTCTACGTATACATAGCTGCCCATGGGTGCGATCTATCAAATAAAGTGGGTATTGATATTTCGACTAAAAATCACCACCCAACCCTAACAGTATCCTTAAAGCAATTTTTTTTCAATTCATCAATTGTGTAGATATGTTAGTGACATAATACCATCAGGTACTTGGGGATTCGACATTATACAGTCTTTACATGACCATACGTTCCATGACTGCCAGAACCCACAAAGCACAACCACACATCTTATAAGGGCCTTAGCAACCCAACGATCATCAGAGGATGTACGTACTCTACATGATCATGCTGTACATCGACAAATCATTACACATAGCAATATATGTTACGTATCAAGAGCTAATAATACATTATTATTCATGCATTATTAGCTGTTGTATGTATATGCTTACCATCACATTTGTATTCGGGCATATAGTACTTACTCAATTGTGACAGGTAGTCAGATATTGTCAATCTACATTCTACAAATGGAAATTTTAGCTAAAATTAAGCTATGAATAATATCAAGTGCACACACAACTATTTATTCAGCTTATGGGTGCTCTTCTAGTAGATAATTATGTGTGCGTGCGTGCGTGCGTGCGTGCGTATATATAAATAACATCAGGAGTGAATAATAGAGATTCTCTATTATTCACTCCTGATAACATGTCATGCGTATTATTTAATATTAGTATTATATTAGCACATCTTGCAACTGCATTATTATGGAACATTCTTGAATACTATGAGCGGATGCCAGTGACTATTACACACAAACATGTATACATGTTATTGGGATATGTACTCCCAATAATTAATATTATATTGTTAAATGCATATTTATGGAATATTCTCGACTACTATCAGCTGATGCCTGCCAAATTAGCCCCTCAGTCATATATATATATATGACTAAATATACATATTTATATAGAAGAATATATATACATATATATATATATATATATATATATATATGTATATATATTCTTCTATATAAATATGTATATTTAGTCATATATATATATATATGACTGAGGGGCTAATTTGGCAGGCATCAGCTGATAGTAGTCGAGAATATTCCATAAATATGCATTTAACAATATAATATTAATTATTGGGAGTACATAATATGTATATGTATATGCACATACTATGTAGATGAGTCGAGAGACCACTACACGGCAGACAGAATTACATATTATGTACTTCAAATGTTATCTATGTTTACCACTGTGGTTATATAGGTTTACCTCATCAATGATATTGATTGTAGTATAGGCTCACAGCCCAAGTGAAAAACCTGATTTATACACACACATAGCGGTAGCATAAATCTATCTAAACTTAATATATACAGATATATTCACAGCTGCAGTAATAGCTGGTTTATGCAAACACACGCCTAAGATATCACACAATCCCGGTCGGCTCCCCTATATATTGATTATACAGGCCTGCGCTAGCTGCTGCTACTGCTACTGCTGACCGATCGAGTGCCGTTGGTTAGTGAGTAGTGAGTGGCATGCAACGCGATTTCCTAACCCAGAGGTTCGGTACGCCCAGATTGCGTGCCGCGCCGCGCTCAACATTATTTTGGAGATACTCTCAAGGTTTTAGAAAAAAAATTACCGATTTTTCATTTTCAACTTTATTCAATGGCTAACACTATGTGCCACCGGTGTACATGCTCATTTCTCCATATAACGGTACATGTGAACTGGCAGAGCGTTTTGCTTGCCCGCGTACATGTGGAGTGAGCCGCGGCTGACGTCAGACAAACGCTGATTTCTCCGTTCCAATTTCTGACTTAGTAGTCGACGTATAAACGGATATTTCTCTGTGATTACAACTCGGAATAATTTAATTTTACACTCCTTTTAATGATAACATATTGCTGTAAAAAAGTGTGTCAGGGATTGTTATTAAGTGCCGTATTTTATGAGTTATGTCTCTTTATTCGCAAAAATTTTAAATTCAAACTTGCAACTTGAATTTTAGGTAGTTTTTTTTATATTTTTCTCGGTAAATATAAACCTTAAAGAAAATTCCTGATGCACTATTTTGGTACATATTGTGCTTAACATGTGGCGAAAATTTTGTATCCTCACTCTTTCTGGTAATTGAGAAATATCCAAAATACCACTTTTACATGAAAATTCAAAATTTTTGTAGTAACATAATTAGGTGCTGGAAATTTCATGAACTTTTTTGCCTTGAGCATATAGAGATATATAACATTTCCTCTATAAATAAAACAAGTGATTGATTCGATTCATTCATCAATAAACGTGTAATCTTCATTAGAGCAATACCCGTGCAAAAGGTTGAGAGTATCTATTTTAGCAAAGGCACCAGTTATGCATATTTTAGCATTGAAGTTATTGCAGCCACACTCATATTTTCACAGATATCACAAACTATTCTGCGGGACTCGCGTAACGGGCTACTAACACATGTTTTGAAGTATACTTCACACTTTAGAATACTATAAGTTTGATCCGAGTTAAATACCTAATAGGAGGATGTTGCTCACTTGCAGAAAGGTTTCTAGCAGTGCAAATGATGTACGGAGTGATGAAGGGGTACCTATTGGGTACGGAGTGATTGGGTACCTAGTTCACCAGGTATAACTCAGATCAAACTTATAGTAGTCTACGAAAACTTTTTAAGTGTGAAGTATACTTCAAAACATGTGTTAGTAGCCCGTCACGCAAGTCACGCAGATTAGTTTGTGATATTCTATTTTCATTTTTAGCTCGCCTTGACATCGTCAAGATGGGCTATTGACATGGGGTGTCGTCCGTCGTACGTCCGTCCGTCCGTCCGTCAACATTTGGCTACGGTCAACGATAACTCAAGAACCGTTTGACCCACATGTTTCAAATTGCATATATAGTTGTTACTCCTATGAGAGAGGTTTGAACGTCCTATTTTGAGGCACGCCAGTCGATCTACTTTCGAGCCACGTCCACTTTTTGGCAAAAATGGAAATGGCCATATAAGTCAGTTCAGGTTCAATGGATTTTGCTCATTTTTGGTATGTGACTGAATAAGAACTGGCCCCAAAACATATCACATGGGTTTTTATTATTTTTTTAATTATGCAAATTAGGTAGATTTTAGCAATTTCACTATGCAATTTCAGTGTCTGCCTACGGTCAACGATAACTCAAGAACCGTTTGACCCACATGTTTCAAATTGCATACAGTTGTTACTCCTGAGTCCTAGGGGAGAGATTTGAACGTCCTATTTTGGAGCACGCCAGTCAACCTACTTTCGAGCCACGCCATCTAGAAATGAAAATGGCCATCTAGATTCATTTGATTTTGTTAAATTTTGGTATGTGAATGTGTAAGGCTAGTCCCAGAACAGTTGTTACTCCTATGGGAGAGATGACAACGTCCTATTACATTTATTTTGTCTAACTGGTTAACAACTCTACAATCATACATCTATACGTGTAATATGGTGTTTTAGATTCTTCGTTACAGTAATTTGACTGAAATATTTTATTGTTTTTATTTGCGCGATATTCGAAAACCAAAATTGTGATCATTTAGGCGTAGCGCCATCTCTCGTTAAGATTTCAGACTTTCAGATCTGAAACATTTATTTTCGCATCAAAACTTATGCATATATCATTATCAAGAGTATATAATGGGAAATATGCTATATA